ATAGCACTCTACCAAGGGTGACATAGTGAGACTCTGTCTCAAAAAAAAAAAAAGTAATATATACATATATATATACACATATGCATATATATATATATATTACAATTTACTTCATATATATATGAAGTAAAACCTGACAAAAATCAAAGAAAGAAGCAGGTAAATCCACAATAATAATTGGAAACTCTTACACCAGTTGATAAAATAAGCAGAAAGAAATCAGCTTGATCAACCCTTACTGAATGTCCAATCAATAGGGCCTGTTATTCTTTCTCATTGAGGCACCTTGTATAACTCAATACGCTCAGAAGGGATTAGAGATACAAAAACAATTCAATATACATTTTCCAGTACAAATGTTTATAAAATGTTGTTTTCTTATTTGCAGAGGCTAAAGCAACCTCATCTGGCTGCTAATGTACCACCTTGCCTTCTGATTAACCCCTGTTCCAGGAATTCCTCTGAGGTTTCTACTTCGTTGGCTATTACATATTTATCCATTGTGTTACGTATTCCATAAATCCTACCCTACAGTGGAAACAACCTCGCCCATAAATCCTGCCTGTGGGCAGATATACATTGCCACTCTCGGAGGGGTTAACTGTAGCCGGCTACATGTTTCTTTCCTGCAGTATGTAAGCCCTGGGTCTCGCCAGCAGAAACGCACGGGTCCACCATCCTGCAGCCACCTGCAACACAGCTTCTGTCCATAAGTCCCGATTAAACGTTTCTTTCTGAGAAACTGGACAGGTCAGCCTCTTTCTTCAGACTCTCAGCTTCCTGGGACTTTGGGGTAGGTTTGCATAGACCTGCTCAGCACAAAACATCACGACAGCCATGTTTCCACAAAAATCTCGGAGCTGCTGATTTAGCTCCCTCAACATGAGCTAAATGAGAAAAAAAGATTTTTTATAAAGGCTAGTATTTGTTTGTATGGCAACAGATGCATAGTTTGAAAGCAGGAAGAGAATATTATGAACCGAATTGTGTCCCCCCGCATCCATATGATGAAGCCCTAACCTCCAATACTTCACAATGAGACTGTATTTGGAGACAAAGCCCCTGAAGAGGTGATTAAGGTATATAGTATATATACATTAAGGTGATTAAGTTAAAATGAGGGTCCCTAATCCAGTCTGACTGGAGTCCTCATAAGAAGAGGAAACCCAAAGATGCCAGCAGACATGAACACACAGAAAAGACCCCATGAGAAAGGACACAGTATCCCCAAAGTTCACATACAGGGGGTTGAGGGGGGAGGGGTTGCAGGCAAATGTACTTTTTCTTTTTAACAAAATATCATTACAAAATTTTACAAAATACTCTCTACATGTTGGCCACCTCTTTCAAGCACACACGAAGTCTTCTCTTCCACTCATGGGAACAAGTTCTAAGACACCTGTTTTATCTATGTGTGGTGACTTTGGGAGCCTCTTGTAATACAGAGAGCCAGAGGTTGTTGTCAAACCAATTTGCCAAATCAGACATTTTATCAGAAAAACATCTTAATTCATTTACCATTTTGAATTGACTTGTTGATGCACATCTTCAAGCCAACCATCTCTGTATTCTCTCTAATCATATTTCTAATAGATAAGACAGAGCCCAGACATCAGCTGCTCACTTGGGTGAAATAAGGTGTTGTCTCCTTCAGCCTCTTACTGAACTCTGTATCAGGGGACATGCATTCTTTGATAGTAGAAGGGGATAAAAGAGGGAGGTCACGACTTGGCGCCTATGGCTCAAGTGGCTAAGGCGCCAGCCACATACACCTAAGGTGGCGGGTTCGAATCCAGCCCAGACCCGCCAAACAACGACGGCTGCAACCAAAAAATAGCCGGGCGCTGTGGCGGGCGCCTGTGGTCCCAGCTACTTGGGAGGCTGAGGCAGGAGACTCGCTTGAGCCCAGGAGTTAGAGGTTGCTGTGAGCTGTGAAGCCACGGCACTCTACCCAGGATAATAGCTTGAGGTTCTGTCTCAAAAAAAAAAAAAGAGGGAGGTCACTAAAAATTATCTCATGCCCACTGCTCCAATATATAAGAAATCAAGGCCAGGCACCGTGGCTCACACCTGTAATTCTAGCACTTTGAGAGGCTGAAGTGGGAGGCTCACTTGAGCCAGGAGTTGGAGACCAGCTTGAGTAAGAGTGAGACCCCATCCCTGCGAAAAATTGAAAAAATTATTTGGGCATGGTGGCACGAGCCTGTGGTCCCAGCTACTCAGGAGGCTAAGGCAGGTGGATCACTT